ACTATATCCACCTGAGCCCCGTCATGTTTGTGGCTGCATGAGATAAAGTTGGAGGATGGCACTTTAATACTTAAAATTTATGTTGGTTACGGTATTTTTTAACATTTGAAAAGGGGATGTCAACGGGACGCAACTGCCAAAAAACTTGGCAGCGAAAGGACGCTACCAATAAACAATCAACAAAACCGGGTTTCTGGGTTGATTTCCAAGGTACTACATGGATCAACTATTTTTTACTTTAGGGTTAATTGGTAAAAATCGCACACAAATCATACGTCACTGACAACGCCGGGGACGGCAACTCGATTTTGAGATTAATTTTCCGAATAAAGTTATACTAAATAACTTCTAATAACGACCTATTGTCTTCAGTTGTATTTGTTGGTCATTTAACTGTCATTTTTGGTGATATTACCATTCTCAATAATCTATAAAACACCCACATAACAACATCACGTTAGATCGATCGGTGGGAACGCCGTGGTGACGCTGGTAGGGTCAATTTTCGTCGGAAGGTATCAAAATGATAAACAGTTTAATTGGACTAAATTACAGCTTATGTTAACCACATGCTTACCTAAGATTATACTAACTCTGGTTTCAAATCAAGGTCAAGTAGTTATATTTTGCGAATTAGCGCCCCTTAACTGATCATCGAGCCACCCCATCATCCCCCCCCCCATTTCAAGACATCTGATACGCCACTGACTTACATGGCCAGATGAATGAACATACTCAATCGATGTGCCACCAAATTGTAACCAGCCTTCACCATGCCCTCACGATGTCACCGGGGACGCAACTGCCAAAAAACTATTTTTGGCAGCGAGGACCTACCAATAAACAATCAACAAACTACCAGATTTCTGGATTAATTTGCAAGGTACTACATGGCTCAACTATTTTTTACTTAGGGGTTAATTGGTAAAAATCGCACACAAATCATACGACGTCACTGACAACGCCGGGGACGGCAACTCGATTTTGGGATTAATTTTCCGAATAAAGTTATACTAAATAACTTCTAATGACAACCTATTGTCTTCAGTTGTCTTTGTTGGTCATTCAACTGTCGTTTTATCTATTTTTTTTGGTGATATTTTCGTCGGAAGGTATCAAGATGATAAACAAGTTTCATTAGACTAAATTCTTTCTTATGCCACTGCGGTGGGGTTCCAGGCAGCCACGGATATTTGACGAATTATGGCGAATGTTTATTACTTACTTGATAGGCATCGAGCTACTATAATATGACTTCATGTAGGCTATGTTTTCTAATATCGAAATCAGCTTCCAAAACCAAAACATTTTGAATAAAACAAGAAACAAAGAGTTTGCAATGTAACCATCTAATTTCCTTACAAACCCTCTTTCTTTAAAGTGTTCATTTTGCCATAAAGCCTTAAGTGTTACCATGGTGTTACGTACCAAGAACGTTAGACAGTTTGCGCATTGAATTGACGCCCCCCATAACATCCAACACACCTGGTCAGAGAATCGACTGATGATGTCGTCAGCCAGGGTCTAAAGGAAATCCATCAGTCGTCAAATTATATGCGGTACTTTACTCTCAACACGTTTGTCACCTGAATAAAAGACGTAACTGTGTTGCTTTTACTGGAAAGATAATCCAACTACAAATTCAGTAGCTTTGACTGAATATAAGCAGCAAGAAAGGGCTTCGTCGCGTTATATTTTCATTGCCATATATAACTTCACTGAAGGGAACATTTTTGACAGCTTCTAAATCACTAGAAGGAAAATACCCAGTTGCAATACGTATAATATTGTGTTTTCTTTAATATGTCTAACACGTCAGACTTTGTACGGTAAGTGTTTAGATATTTAGAAAGAGTTTGATTTTCATTCGTGCTCAATTATCCCTTAGCACAAACCTGACCAACTTTTACCAGTAAATATTGGAAAAGCAAACTTAACAAGACCAGTTAGGCCTACTACTAGGCCTATATTCAATTGGAAATGTTGCATAAACCGTTTCACAAGTAGCACTTTTCGTTAACAAGAGGAAATTATAAATTCGGCACAGGTGATCAGAGACTGATTCACGTATTCATTATGTGTGTTGAAATTCATTTCGGATTTTTTTTTCTTTGCGGGAGTATGAAGTCCACAATGACCAGTGGCGGATCCAGGGGTTGGGGGGGGGGTTCAAGGGGTTCGGACGAACCCCCCCCCCTCCTCTGTGAAGAAACGTAACAAAATACAACTGAGTCCTGGCTTAGAAAAGGCATGCTAACCTACCTAGGCATAGGTTGGAAGATCAGACAAAGTAGGCCTAGCCCATTGAGTTTTCAATTAAATAAATTATACATGTACTGTTTTTAGTTCGCCGTCGTAATAATTTATGTACGAAAGTGCGTTCTTCAGGCCTATCGGTTCATCGATCCATGGAAGAAAGACTACATATCTAACTACTCAATTTTGTTGGAATATAATAATATATTGCCTGTCTTTGATCTTTTTCCCCTCTATGATAGGCCTAAAGAATGAGAAAAAATTACCTGACCTTTTTTCAAGAGGGGGAAAACCTTGAATTTTGAAGAATATAAAAGTCATTAAAAGACTACTCTGAAGTCGGGAAAGCTCATTTCCGGCCATCTAGGAATGAAAATTTTCCCGGGGGAAAACCCCCGACCCCCCCCCCTTTTCATTGTGGGGTTTTTTGGAAACATTTTCAACCACACTCTTTTAAATCCTGGATCCACCCCTGATGACGATAGGCCTACATCCTCTGTTTTTGAAAGCCATCTTAAATCTGGATTTTAAGGCAGTGTCGGATTCGGGGTTTTTTTTGTTTTTTTTTTGTTTTTTTTTTGTCTGGAAAGGAATTCAACAAGGTATTCTGAAGGGATGGAATCGTATAGTTACCAGTTTAAACTTGTATTTAAGAATTAGCAAGCATTGGCGCAATTTATACAATTTAACAGTGTCTTTATAAACTTCAGAATGGGGAATACCATACACGTAGTATGTGTTTGTATGTGAGACGGGGTGGGGTGTGCGTGAGCCCCAAAGCACTCGAATGGGAGAAAGAAAAGATGAAATGATAATTTGCAGGTATCGTGACCGGGTAGAGACACTTTTTATATAGGCCACAGCAGAAAACGAACTTTTCGTTGAAGAGCTATAAACTGTATCCATTGACAATTGTCCCATCAAGGATCGCCCCGAACCGTCCGGGTGTTCTACCATAATATTGAGCTATGCTGAGGTGATACTCTCCCTTTGAAATTTGACGAGTCGACTAACGAGTGCTACATTGCTCATATTTTTACGTATTCGTCAGCAGCTGAAGAACCCTTTTATTCATAGACGATGTAAATCAATGAAGCGAATGTTGACTACGCGTACAATCTAGTGCTCACCTGCCTTTATATAAGATTTCCATGGTAACATCAATAACTATAAAATTGAAATTTGATGTTTTGTTTTACCTCGTGATTGTGTAGGCCTACCCTAATAATAGTAATACAGTAATGATAATAAATTAGGTCTGTTATTATTTTTATTGCACTGAAACCTTCATGAAGGAGCATTGGAAGCGAACTTCTCTTAAAATATATTGTTCAGATTTGTGGGGAATAATAATATCTTAAAGCTTTGTTATACAGTAATAACACATTAAGAATAAATTTATCAGTAACTTGGACGTTAACAAATTTTCATGTTGAATCAGTGTTACAACAGGGATGTGACTCTGAGGCTGAGACCTATTTAGCTTTTTTAGGGGAATGTACATAGGAGCCTGCCTGGAGCCACAGTAATAACGGGTGGTGCAGGGCTCAGGGGTAATTCAACTGTTGAATCCCCTACAAGGAGTTCGTGGGGTCCGGATACTCATTTTTATGCTCGTTAATTCTTTAAAATAGTTGCTGTTTAGTTACAGTGAATTTATTATTTATTATTATTTATTATTAATATTATTATTATTATTATAATTATATAAAAAAACATAAAATGACTTGAATACTAATAGATATTGAGAGAAACCACATTTTAATTCACTTATTTAGTACAGTCCTACTTTCAATGGCGTAGGCGTATTATTAAGCCTACTTTTAAAACCAACAAAATGAGATCTGACTTGGTAAACGATTGTTTCTTTTCAAGAACAGGCCAAGGTGATCCTCTCCGGGAATACATTTCATGAGTGTGCCGAAATCGGAATTTTAAATGAATTTGTGAGCTTTGTATTGATTTGGCTTAGGCCTGTGTCGCATTTTCAAACTGAGACGTTTACATTGATACACTAGACATCACATTCTCTTTTCTATTACCGTTACGGTTTATTCGTGCTCATTTATTTTCACATCATAACACTGAAATAGATGTTCAATAATCCTATTTAAAGTAAATAAAGTAAAATAGAATAACTATCGTCCAGTCAATTGAACACGGAATTATGTTTATGTAACTATGTATTTTAGACCCAGGCCTAGGCTTTTTTATAGAAACAATAAAAGCGGACTATTATTTATAGTTAGGATAATACGTATTTAATTTTAACAGTATAGTTGTTATAGGCCCTGTATTTGGGTAAAGTTTGCATTTTTATTAGGCCTATTCCGTATATTTAAAAAAATCGAGAAATAATTGATATGCTCAAAAGATGTGTCGAGCCTTGGTCGATCAATTTATTTTAATATTTAAAAATATAACAATCAAGTTTAAACATATTGAGGGCAGTATATAACGTTGCTATAGAAACAGATTTTGACCTTATTACACAGGTACAGGTGCCTGATTTCTTGGTTTATTTTACTAAATAATCTGTATGTTTCTTTAGATTTTATTATTTTTTAAACATATAATTTTAATATTTAACTTTGCTATTTCATTATTTGTTAATCGTAATTTCAATAAATGTATATAGATATGATCTTTTTGCACTATTTATCAGTGAACACTTAATCTTAAATTTGATTGGTGTAAATTGTCCAAGTAGTAAACAACTTGTCAACCAAAAAATGGCCGACGACGACCAGTCAGGAACAGCGATAGGCCTAAATTAAAGATTACATTTATTATATTAGAATATTATCATAACAGTTTGTAGGTATGGATACGATTCTTTATTATACTTTAATTTGCTTTATGAATACTCAGAAAAAATGGGGAGACGACATGGTGTAACGAACTGAACCAGCATTTTAAGTAAAGTAGGCCTAGGCTAGTAGGCTAGGCTAGGAGGAGGGAAGGGGAGCCTAGGCTTCGCGTAGGCCTAGACCCACCTCCTGATGGCCTGGCTGGGCTTAGCAGACAGGCATCGGTAGGGGCCTAAGGGTTGTAGCCTAGGCTAGCCCTGTCCATCCCATTTTACGTTTTAATGCTAAAGGCTAAGGCTTATATTAAAATAGAAAGCTTTTAATGTAATTAAAATGCCCCATCCCATTCAATCCATTCTTAGACTTATTCCTTCCAGTTGATTGATGGAAAGGAATTTGTATTGTAACAATGTCTTGTCTGTGGCTCTCTTGTTGATTTTTGGGATTCAGACCACAAAATTATGCAATACATAAGGTATAGAACTATAACAATCAATCTTTGTTCATAGTTTATTGTACAAGAGCTAGGTCTAGCCTAGGCTAGTCTTCAGCTGCTGTCCATATTTTATATGTGTTTGCGTAGAGTAGAGTATCAACAATAATTATTCACAAGCGTACAACCAATGCCAATACAGCTAAATCTTAGAAACAATAATTTACCAACATTGAAGTTTAGAAAACTCTGTGGTGACATGATCGATTTGTATAAATATATACAAGGCTATTAGTGTGAAGACATAGAAAGTTTGTTTAAGATTATTTCTGGTCCACAGACAAGAGGTCATACTTATAAGATTTATAAGCAATGTTTCTGACTAAAATTAAAAGAGTTTTTTTCACTCAAAGAGTTGTCAATGAATGGAATAATTTACCTGATGAAATTGTAACAGCGCAGTCTATTAATGTTCTTAAAAACAAATTGGATAAGTATTGGTCTAGGCATCCTCTTAAATTCAGTATATAGTTTGTATTTAACTCCAGTCTCATCAGGAAATGCAGTACGTTTCCGAAGTGCTAACCCTCTATAGTATAATAACAGACGAAAAGCCTTTAACCGTAACTTTCTGTTATCTGTTAAATTGTATAACATCAACAATCACTATAGCCTATGTACAGTACCAAATGGTAGCATGATAACTGTTACAATTGTCCAAAATAATAATGCTTAAAAAAAGATTATAGTTTGCTCTACCACAAGGTTTTTTGTCAATGGTACAACAAATTGATATTCTTGTGGATGTGTTATCTTGTGTACCGTTTTGTCTGTGAGAATTCTTTGGCATTATAAAAGCCCCTGTTGGTGCTCTCAGGGGCTCCTAGGAAAAATATTGCTGCATAATATTTGCAAAGTAATGTTTTTACTGTTCATTTTGGATAGTTCATATACACTATTGGCTAGGCCTAGCTTATATACTTTTTGTATCAATATGTGGCCATTTGTGATTTAGAAACAATCTGCTGACATAATGTTTGCATGCAATGTTTCCAAATGCAGTTTGTTTCGGGTAATTGCAGTGAATGCTTTTGCTAAAACTAGGTTGTTTGCTCTTGTCCCACTGATGCAACATGAGTTCAACAGGGTAAGTATCGGTGATAGCTTGAATTCAGATACCATAAAACCTCGAATTGAAGCCCAGTGGGCTTAATCTTGAGATGAAGCCCATCTCGAATTGAAGTCCCCTCTTTATTTTGCAAAATTATCCTCGAAAAGAAGCCCATGTGCTTCTTTTCAAGATAGCGCAGGCTTCTTTTCGAGATAGTAGAGTACATACACTGTACATGAATTTCAGTAACAAAATAAATTTTAAAAAAGCTTGGTTTATACAGTGGTTTAGGTTATATAATGCCAGTTAAATATACTGCATGATAGAGATTGATTTTAAGTGGCCTCATTTATTGTTTTGTAGTAGAAATTCACAATATTTACAGCATTCATTTTGAAAAGAGCCCCCCCCCCCTATTTGCTTTGCAAAAGAAGCCTATCTCGAAATGAAGCCCATCTCAAAAAGAAGCATATCCAAAGTTCACCAAAAAAAAGAAGCCCAGAGTTTCAATTCGAGGTTTTATGGTAATCCACCAGTAGCCTAACCTTGTCGATCTATGAAGAATGTTCTTTCTCTATAGATCTTTCAACAATGTGCACTTTCAAGCTGCAGTCTAGCATATTTTGATAGAATTTTGCCTAGTTTAGTATTGTATAGTATTATGATGAGCATTAAAAAAATGATTAAACCTTGCCCTTGATTATTGTAGAAAAAAAATTACTATGGACTTTTAAATCTTAGCACAATTGCTTGAATTAAAGGTATATTTTTGTCTAATCAAGTGTGTGATTATGTGATGGACCAATGTCCTTGAATCTGCCTACTCAAGATAATTTGTAGATTAAATCAATTTTATTAATTATTTATGGCACAGTATATCCTACATTTCATAAGTTGCTATTATATTATTTTTAATATTTATATAGCACCTTTCACAAACTAAAAGTATAAAAGGCATACAACATTATTACCCCTGGTCACTAAATCCATAATTTGGCAAACAAGCACATGGTACCAACTTCCTGATGATACAAATATACACATACAAATATACACATGCAAATTTAATCAGTTGAAAGTAAAAATCTGTTGGACTGCAGCTTTAATCTATTCATGATAAATACTAAATCATAAGCTTCAATTCATTTACAAAGCATTGTATAATACTCCAATGTATTTCATTATTGCTTTACAACCATTTAAACTGCTTTATAAATATGTTTCGAATTTATTATGTACATAATGCTTATGAAAGCTTTAATAAATATACAGTATATAACTTTTTATTAGAATTTCCAGATATATCATATCAACACCAACATCATAGACTTCATAAAATGTTCATCACTCACCATGATGGGGCTTATCATTCCATAAATACTATACTTTAACTACTATAAACCACAATGTTGGTATTATATCATCATTAATAGGTAGTTTTCGCCACATTGTGTTAACTTTAACATTAGTACCCAACATGCAACGCGATAACTCCACCCCGTTTGTAAACAAATCGAAATACGCATGCGCAAACCCGTAACTAACATCCGTTGATCACGTAAAATCCTGAAATTAACATACTCCGCAACGCAAGATGAATAAATTATGATGTCATCCATTAAGGTTAACGTCGTGCAGTGAACTCTCCCTAATATTCAGCGTCACCATTACTGTAATCAAACCAAAATATTTTCAATAATTATTACATTATCAAGATCACTCATCATCATTTATCCCAATCATTGTCCGGCAGCTGCAGCAGCATATAGTAAAGTTAAATTAAAAAGTAGGCATTTTAGATTTAGATTTTAATAGTGAAAAAGTAAGTCTTAAACTTGATTAGTATGTATAATATATTTAAGTAACAGTAAGTAACTAATTTTTAATATACAAATATTTAAGGTTGGGCAAAACATATATTGAGTTTCCTGATGGAAAAACCTGTTGAAATTTTATTAGTATTTTGATTGCTGGATTGTTGTTATCGTCGTGGATACTGTAAAATAAATGCCACATCCATAACAACATGTATTTCATGAAGCATTGGAGTTGATGTTGCAGTATATACTGTACAGTATGGACTAAAACTTCTATCTTTTCAATTTCCCTTAAAATTATAGTTTATTTCCATGTTTGTTTTCTTAATTCTAGAGGAGAAACATCTAAAATGAATAGGTATTCATTCTATATTTTATTCTAGAACAAATGGTGTGTTCTTTCACTGAACTTAGTGGTCAAGTGATGTGATGACCACTACACAGATGGCATTATCTCTCCTCACAACACCTGCACCTACATACTGCACCAAGAAGACTAGGCCACATTACTAACCAGGACCCACTTAAAACCTAATTTAACATGGTCTGCAGGTTTCGGATTCCCAGAGCAGGTTCCCTTCCACATGGCTTCGGTATCCCCTCAGAATTGACCTCACCACACTCAATTATGTTACTCAGTAGTCACTGGTCTGATTTTCTCTAAATGTTTATTGTTTCAGATAATAGTGAACATAAAATCACATGTGAGGTCTTGCCACAAAATGAGTGATCATGGTTAGAAATTCAAAAATTGAGTTTATATATTTGTGTAAATCACATTATAAGATTCGTTTGGTCTTTGAATGGCTTCCCTAGGATAAGTAAATCCAGAGATGTGAGCATTTAAAGTTTAGTTGTATAAGAACCACGTTTAGAGAAAATCGGCCTCAAAGATAAACTAACCTGTACAAATAATAGGATTAGAGGAGAATATGTGCAGAGTTTAGCAAGAAAATTCACTTACAAAGTATTCAGTCATAAAATATAAGTATCAAGTTATTCAAAAACATTAAAATCAAAATTTTGTAAAAATTTTGAATTTGGCCTATTTTGGTGAATATCTCAATATGATTTCACCAACGATGTGTCTCATTTCGTAGTAGACCTCACATATGCACTTAGAATCTAGATAGCAGTTACTGATGGTTATTGATAATTCAGTTAGAGGAAATTACATAATATTTTATAGATCACATCCACTATTAACAGGATCGTTAAAAAGTAATTACTGTATTACCAACCATAGAAATTGTATGCTGCGCAAATTTTATACATTTCATTTCTAAATGATATCCTGTTTGTTAAGTTTGTAAGGTGAATCTGTTAGTTGCAATAAGCATTAAAATTTAGGATTATATTTTGAAGTTATTGACAGCTATTTGTTAATTAACTTTCTCTTGGGTTCTTCCAGTCAATACACCATTACACCTTTACTTTTATTTTAATGATTATTACAGTAATGGTTCTGTTTGCATAGCACAAGTTTATCTAAAATTTGCACAACTGAAGTTAAAGATCCCTAAATATGGTGTTGTTGTCTGCATACTGATAATAGAAATTGGTGCCATACCTCAATTATACCTTACTGTAGTTGCACCATTTTAGCTGGTTTCATTTATATCACGCCTTCATTTTGCACACTGCACTGCTTTTATTTTGAACTGATGTGAATTCACGGTTTTCTTTTCACAATCTAACATTACTCGAACACTGTTAATGTTGGAATTATGATGAGATTATAGTTTTGCATTTAGTATACTGACAAAAAGTATTTTTTACAATAAAGAAGCTAAGTTCTAGGACCATCTATATAGAACTTTGTTTGCAAATCAAACCACACCTGTACCTGACATAGTTATTATGGTAAAGTATTAAATACTGGAAGAAAGTAGAATCATCTTAATGTTTCTCGTCTTTGTCAACTGAAATATGTGAATTCATTGTTAACATAGCTGATACAAGTCAAAAACAATAAAGGATTGTTTGATTGGCATTTGAATCCTAACTTTAAAATTAATGATTGAAACCAAGTTACTTAATGGTGAAGGTATGCCTAATTTAACCAGAGATAACTAATATTGTGATGATGATTTAAAAACAATAATATAGGAAGAATATGTACAGTATAACAATGTTTTTTTCCTGTTAACTTGATATAATTTTAATATGTTTTAACTTTCTTTGCTCTAAAGCTTTGTGAAGAAGGTGAAGATGGGTAAACGAGTGGAAAAAATGATGAAAGATAAAAGTGGTACGACAACAGGGCAGGAAATTGCTGATGATGACCCAAATAAAACACCAGGTACTTAGTCAAGTGTTTTCTTTCATTCTGATCAAATAGCGAAAGTATATAATATGAGACAACAAACTCTGTCATTTGCCAGATTTGAATGTATGGTAATTTTTATTGATACCAGTTCCTAAAAATTTCAAACGACAAGAGGCAACATCAAGACTTTATAAATGTTTATTACTTTCATTAAAACACAACTGAACAATATAAGCTTATTATAATTTTGATATTACAAAATATCGGTGAATTCTAAGAATCTGTAAGATCTGTAGTAAAACTGTCTATTAATCAATTATGCATTAGTCTCTTTTTTATAATCTGCATCATTCTTCATCAGCACACAATAGAAAGAAAAATAAATTTGAAGAAACATGTAAAAATTATTCTTGTTTTATTCTCTGTAGAGCCTTACACCTGTACTGGTATATTTGAAGCTGATTTCACAGAGTTCTGCCGTCGCAATCACCTCAAAGACAACGAGATACCTGCAGTCGTGATTCGCCCCAAGCCCCCAGGTATCCAGCCTCCACCAGATGCCAAGTCTAAGGATTCCAAAGATAGTAAAGACGCATCAAAAGATCCCACACCAGATGAAAGTCCAGATACTGGCAGTCAGGAAGATCCACCGCCAAAGACGTATGTTACCAAAGAAAAGTATGCTTATTTCCGACCTGTTATTCAAGTAGAGATGGAGAATGATGAAAAGCCAATAACAGTCACTGAAATCTACATCCGAGGTAAGTAAAGAAAAAGATGTATTTGTATAGTGAATGGTTATGCGATATTTAAGTGCATTTACTGTACTGGGTCTACAGTGATGTGCTACGTAAATTTGTAATACCAAGACACAAAAAGTAAACAGGTTTGGAAACATCCATGAACTATTGTTTGCTAAGCTGTTCACCCACAACTGTAGTAGAATTAGAAACATTTTTGATCTCACATGGTAAGAATAAGGTAAAAGTCGAAACCTGAAGTCCTGGGCTCATAGGCTGGAGTGCCGGTCTCTCTTTCCTTGGCATTTGGGCCAGACTCTGCAAGGCTGTGGGGGGATCGGCACTCCTCTCGTACAGAAGTCTTGTTTTTTCCTTCTCAGCATATGTTGTTGCCCATTTATACTCCTGGGTAGAGAGAGGCAAACGTAGATTAAGTGTCTTGCCCAAGGACACAAGTGACTTGCACAAGGATTCTGAACCCCCGACCTCAAGGTTGAGTGTCCGAGCCACAACATTTACGCCATCCGCTTCTGTAAATTAGCGGTGAAGACCTCACAAGACCATGGTAAAAAATATCTCCCATGTTTTTTGGGGTTTTTTTTCAGAAAATATAATCCTCAACATATTTGGTTTATTATATGTAACTGTCTTCTTGTTTAAGACACTTAAAAATAAATATTACTTCTATATCAAGATGTTTAATTTTTTCTATTTGAATAATGAAAAACATATTTCATTTTATCTTGTAGGCTGGAAGATTGATTTGTTGATGGTAGGAATATTCAAGCAGTGCTGGCCAACCATTGAAAAGCTCAGTGTTGTCAAGTATGTGGTGAAGCTGTAGTTCAGTTGTTAATATGCTTGTTTTTTATTCCCAGGGCTTATGTTCAAATCTTGTCTAAACCATGTGAATACAACAAATCCACTCCCTAAACCTGATTCTGAAACTGCATAGGAAAGTTGGGTAAATTTATAATGAGTAGATAGTGAGATATTACAAGTGTTATTTGCTTTTTCTTTGTAGCCTTTGGAATGTTAATCTAAGTGAAGCTGTAATCAAGGAATTTGCCTCATTTCTTCCCCAATGTCCAAATCTAAAGTAAGTACTAAATTTTAGTAATAATAATAATAATAATAATACATTTTTCTGTAATGCTAGGCAATATGTTTGTGGGGAAAAACATGGTAGGCATATGGTAACAATTTGCTTTCATCAGGTGTATTTAAAAAATATTGTTATAACATTTCAGTGTACAAATTACATTTCTCATTTTCATTTCTCCTACTGTGTGCTAAGATTTCTAAAATATTTTTATACCATTTAGGACTTTGGCTATTGATGGAACAATATGTGTAGAGGAATCTTGGGCCCTGCTTATTGGAGAAGAAAGCTTGTGAGTATTCTTCTTGTTTGTGTTTTTTTTTTTTCTTAAAAGGCCCTTTACTGCATAGAAAAACAATAATATATTGTTGTTGTCTTTATTTTAGGTTGACATCATTATCCCTACGAAATAATGGTATAACCGACAAAGGTGCCGCTATGATAGGAAAGGCATTGTCAACAGTCAAAACTTGCAATAAGAACTTGATATCGCTTAACTTAAGTGGTAATAAGATAAGTGATATTGGCGCTACATCCATTGCACAAGTAAGACCCAATTGCATTTTTTTTTTCAAACTTCTATGTTGTTTTGAACCTTGTAATATACCTATATAAAGAAAAATGCTCATTTAAAACAAATTTTAACATCTTTTTTCTCAGGGATTGAGAATGAACCGTGCTCTACTCTCCTTGTCGCTAGCAAATAACAATGTGTCCAATGAGGGTGCTAAGAGGCTAGCAGAGGTCCTGTCCAGGTTCCCGCTGACGCATGAAGAGGTAGTAGAGAGAAGGAAGCTTTTAAGTGAGAAAGGATCTCCAGACCGAGGCCTGGTTAAGTCAGTGAGTTTCGCAATTAAATTTGTTTACGAATTTTATTGTATTACACTGTGTAATTAAAATATAGTTTTCTTGATCATTGTCTAATATTCTTTTTAAATATGATTAACTTTTTAATTGGGTGAGCATTTCAAAAATTTTCTTTTTCCAGCCTCCACCTTCTAGGCGTGGTGACAACAGACCAGGAAGTGTCCGCAGTAGCAGTCACATGGATAAGACAGACAAAAAAAGGGATAAATCTTCAAAGAAGAAGGTTAGTACAGTATCTGATTACTCATTACAACAATGCATTGTGCTTTTAGCTAAAGATCAAAGGCTACATTTACATTCCCTTGGTATAAAGTAGATATAATTGTGCTCAGGCCTGAAGCAATTTACATCAAATTTAGAAATTTTGTTGCTTGTTAATTTTTTTAAACTAAACCTAAGAGTAATACTGACTTTAAAAAGTCCTTCTAAAATGGCTTTGTGAACTTTATTTGGTTAAGTAATGGAAAATTTATGAGTGGTTGTTTGTGTGTTAATATAATATGCATTCATTTATACCCAAGGCTAATCATTTTTACCTAGCAGGATGGTAAGAAAGGTGAAAAAGAAAAGGAGGATACCCGTTCAATTCGATCATCAGCGGTAATTTTTACTAACTGCACGCATTTTGCATATATGCATAACTGATTTACATAATTTGAATATTGGAACCTTTGGGAATCTTCCTCTTGATGGTTATTGGACCCATTTGTATGATTTTTTTTTAAATTATGAAATTATAAATTCATTTAATTTAAGTCATCGCTGTATGATGGTTTAACTATTTTTTCTCTGCATGCAACACTTTTTTTGCTTGAAAAAGAGTGTTTTGCCAGTTCAGTGCGCAAACTCTGTCTGTTAATATTAGCACCACGTTCATCATGATGAATATGGTGTTAATATTACTGCATGTGGTGGCCTCCCTCTAATTACGAAGCCCACCAAGTAAAAACCACCTCCAATTAAAGACCACTGTGGCCCGGGATGAACACCTATTCTGTATGTTGTTAACTTACTTTATAATAGTACGGTGGCTGGATGTCTCTAAGTCTACCACTTTCCACTGCTGAAGTGCAATACATTTTTTAACTTTGATTTTGTCATTTTGAAAAGCATCTCATTCTTATATTGAAACTAGAAACTAGTTTGGAGTGGCTGAGACAAGCTAAAAGAATGTTCAGTTTAGTTTTTTTTATTTTGAACTTGTTTGGACTGGTTGGGGCTGGCTTAGGACGGTAGCTATGTATCAGTTGAGACTATAAGCAATGGTTTAAAGTGAGTTCTCTTATTAAGTTGGAATGGTTGAGACTAGCCAAGATCAGTTAAACAAATATTAAAACTTTTCCTTGTGAGGTTTATTTGCCTTTGAAGTGCATGGGAGTTTATTTATAAAAACAAATTAATGCACGAATATGCACTTTAATTTGATTGCTGAACATACACCGTTTTCCAAAAGTGCACTTCTCCTTTCAGAATATTGAATTACATGACAATTTTTAGCGCAAGATTTATTTCCTGTTGGTCATACATACTGTATTATTTTTATATGCTTTAAGCATTGACACCGATTCTCATCTGTTATCTTGTATGATCATGGTTTTTTACCAGTGATCTATATGATAACGATCAAATGATCTGTGTCATATTATCTATTCAACATCATTTTTTTAATGATCTCTGTCCTATGAATAATGATTTATGTGTCTGTCATGTGAACTTTTTTTATCATATGAATATGACTTCTGATCACTTTCATATTATCTTTATCATAGTGATGTATCAATCACTGTATGAAATAATAAACATAAACTTAAATTAGAATATGATCTGTTTGAGCCTTGAGCATTTTTGGTAGATATTGGCTCATTATAAATGTATTTTGATTTTATGACTTATATGTACTGTAAGTGAGGTATTATGACAATACAGTATATGACTATGTCATAACACCTACTGTATACTTAGGGTCGAAATGGCTCCCCCATTCCATATTAAGAGCGACTGTAAACATCAATAAACTCAATGGTCTTATAGTGAAATTACCTTTAATATCTATTTATCATATATTATATTTGTCATTAAGTCTATGGCTTGTAATCTCTGTCTTTTGATCTCTATTCATATGATCTTTCCCATACTGCATATATCTCTTATGATGATATGTCATTAAATTTTAAGACATAAGTTAAACATTATTGAACTGTTAGCATTTTATGTTCTGTCAATCAGATTGATTGTACTTGACTTAATGGACACCAGTTTGATATTAAATTTGATAACAATACTATTGATATAATGTTTGATTGATGATAGGAGGGGTGCAAAAGTGAAAAGGATCATGGAAAATCAAACAAAATCCCCATGGTAACGGTGTACCAATTTTAGCAGAATTGTGTCTGTGTTTACTAATGAGCATGAGCTATAACTCCAAACTACTGTACATTATTAATTGTTGCTCAGTCTTCATTAATAACAAAATTGATGAGTTATTTTTACATAATTAACATCATTCTATTTTGTTTGCTAAAAATATTCGAATTACATACAAAATTAACCATTATTGTACGCTATACTGTACTCAAGTTGCAGGCAAGGTTACACCATTAAAGCAGTGAAAGATTTACTTAATTATTATTTCACATATGATCATTTATTTTTACATAATTAACAATATGTCATTTCGTTTCCTAAAAATAATTGTATAATTGAAATTTAATATAATAGATAAAATAATAAACCATTCAATGTTGTATGCTATACTCAAGTTTAGGCTAGGTTTGCACCATTAAAACAGTTAAAGGTTTACTTATTATTATTTCAATCGTAAGAATTAAATTAAAGATTTGAAATTAAAAACACAGGTAACGGAGTATAGATGATAATACATATGTTCCATAATCAAACTTTTTATATAAAAGTTATATTTTTTATATAATATGTATTCAAAATCTGTCATTCTGTCACAGTCTGTCCACTATCATAATGTCACTCGGTCATGCAACTAAATACACTGACATTCATGCTGTATGTATTTTACCATAAATCTGTAATTACATAAAACCATTTGCAAAAATAATGTTTGTGCACACTCTGATTGTTAATAAAGAGCACATGCGGAACACAAGGAAAATTTACAATATTTATATCAAGTACTGTTCAAATGTATTGCGTACAATCATTATTCCTAAAAAAAATTAAGGGTATCTAGAGGACAAATTGTAAAATTTTTGGTTTTTTCTGTAAATTCACATGATAAATTTTGCCTTCTCGATCATTGTTTTCCATCATCACTCCTTTACTTATTTTAGCAAAATGTTTACATCATTTCACAACAACAGAGGCTCAAATGAACACTAAGATGATTATGATAATCCCCTATTTTCTATAAGATGCAATGGTTCATAAATAGCACACCAACCAGATGTCCTTAATATCCAAGAAGGTTTGGTCCTAATAATCAAAGCCTCGCCAAGGAGAGTCTCAAACCAGTGCCAATGTGCACGCCCAGTTTGGGAGTCATTCAGATTTCCTCATTTGATAGCAACTCCAGGCCCACTGTCAGAGTGTTTTTAATGGCAGCAGTACAAGTTTAGTGAGTAACCATTTTTTGTTCTGCATTTATAAAAGATACATGTAGTCTGAACATACTTTTTTCTTTTTTAGGATGGAAAGAAGGACAAAGATGATGCAACAAAAGGTGGATCAAAGAAAGATGACAAGTGGAAGAAAGGTGAGTTGGGTAGTATCAACCTTAGAAATCATATTAATTAGGCTTGTAGTTAATGTGTTAGTGTTAGATCTAAGCACAATTACACAGTAACTGCACATAAATCAACTACCAACTTCTCCATTTTTCATTTTATCAAAAGATTGATTTAAATATGTAAATTTAAGTCATTCTCCAGGGTTTTATGTACAGTAGGTACATTTTCAGCTCATTTGTTAATAAAAAATCTGGAACTCGCTGCTCTTCTTTCTGTGCTAAAGTTATACTGTCTGTCATAATATCTGAAATAATTTCAAAATATTTTTCTCTGATTTACAGACCTTTTACTACAAAAATCCTTAAATTTATTACCATCCTAAAAGGGTCTATGCACAGGAATATAGGAACTATATTCCTGTGTATAACCTGCTATAGCAAGGAAAATTTTGATCATTGTAATTTTCATTTGAAAGCTAGTAACTTAGCTTCTTAACAAACTAAGCAATTAAAATATTAATTTTATTAGCACACAGACAGTAAATGTTTAACAAAACTGTATGCAAGTCTTCCTATTACTTTATTGTTTGTATGTGTCCTGTTGTGCCCTTTTTCCACCTTTTATATAAACAAAATGTGATCACCATAGGAAAAGAACATAATCTCCACTAGTGTTTATAACTGTAAGTGTAAATTAATGTAAGATTAATACAAAAATCACAATATTTAGCATTTTATTGTAGTGTTACTGTAGTCATTTTAAAATGCAGTAGAATAATATTTTATTGTCTTTTATATTGCATGTACAAACCTGTTTAGTTTGTTGATGCACACATTTTTTTTATTATCATTTGCAATTAACTGTCATCTGTTTTTGAATAAGTTAAATTTAGAAATTAATGAGGCCTCTTCCTCTAATATACCACCCCTTTTCTCATCCTCCTATTTATCAAAGTCTGCCTTAGGTATTAAAATAATCAATTCCAAAAAAAAAAATTCCATACCAAAAATTGTATTTATATAATATTGTGAAGCGTGAATAGTTTGAAGATATTTCAGTAGACACTCCTGTTGGTTAACTTTGATCTGTCACTGAATACTCATAATATTAGGCACAATCATGCAAGGATGTGGTATAGCTATTGTGTTTCCATTAAAGGTTTGAGTGTGATTGAGTCCTGATGGAGCAATGCACTTTATCCATGTTGTCTCCAAAGTGGCAGTGCCTGTGAGGTCAGAGGGCTTTCATGGATCT